CCTAAACTCTAAACCCTAAACTGTCCTGGCTGAGGCTTTCCTCCAGGAGCTCTATGAGCTCGTGGACAAGCTGCCCTTCCCACACAGCTCCAGCCGCAAGTCACGGAGACTTTGAAGTGCAAAGTCAGGTAGGTTAGGGTTTAGGGTTTAGGGTTTAGGGTTTAGGTTTGGTCCCTATTATTTGGGGTACTATGTTAGGCTCCTCTGTTTTCGGTTTGGTAAGGGGGGCCATTAAAACTTTGGGGCAACTTCTGGGAGCAATGCTCAGGCGGTTCCCAAGATTCCCGGCCTTCATCCCGACGACAAACCCGACGAGAATCCTAGAGACCCTAAACCCTAAACCCTAAGGAGCGCCAAAGAAGCTCAAGAGATCAAAGTCAATCTCTTCGGTGAGAAGATCCCAGCACGATGCTCGCCAGCAGTTTTTGCAGGGCCAGGGCGACTACTTAAAGGATCATGGGACTTAGTAACTAGGGTTACAAATAAGGTAACTTTTATTATAACCCCAATTGGGGTACTTATAACCTTACTTACTAAGTCCCATGATCCTCCAAGTATGGTAATTTCTGGGCGAGTGCGAATCCCTCTTCTAGCCGATCTCCTCTCGTGGGTGTGGTGCTCTGCAGAGGCTCCCAGGAGCACTGCCATGTGTGTGTGTGTGTCACTACAACCACTTTTTGGCGTGCGGCATCTTTCAACAACCCTTCTGACGCCTCTCTCTTCCCGATGCAGTGCTGCAGACGAGGCAGGGCGCTTTGGCACCCCGCGGAGCGCAAAGTTCGCATTCAGCTGGGTAGCGGCTTGGCGGCACTTTGCGCCTGGGAGGAGGCAGCTGAAACTCTCTGCTTACAGGATCATGAGACTTAGTAGCTAAGGTTATTATTAGGGTAATTATACTTATACCTACTTAGAAGCCCAATCAAAGTACTTATAACCATACTTACTAAGTCCCATGATCCTCTCTGAGACATGTGAACGTGGTGCAACGTCGGCGCGACTCTGAAGCTCAAGCGTCCCAGGCTTGGCCGAGCATGTCATCACTAGCGCACGGCATGCAATCAGTCTACACTTTCTATAGTATAAAAGACTGTACTAGACTATAGCATGTATTGTAATACATATTATAGTATAGTATACTATACTATCCTCTGGCACAGGTGCGCATGCAATGATTTGTGACGAGGGTCGCAGAAGCATGGAGCCCTGCCAGTCCCAGCGGAGCCACAGAGAGAGAGAGTTCATTATAGTACAGTATAGTATAGCATGGTATAGTATATAGTATAATGTACTGTATTACAGTATCTTACAGTATACTCTATTGGAGGAGTATGTTATAACATATATCAAGTGTAGAGCCTGAGCTTGGGCTCCACCCGGGCCCTGCCCTGCGGTGCCCTGCGTCATCATGGAGACCATGGAGAGGTACTCTTTTGGAGTTTTGGGCGATTCGTCACTGTACTGCAAGGGGCCTAACAAGCAGCGCCGGAAGCTGGGAAACCGTCTATGGGAGCTGCTTGGTTCCCAGGTCTGGTACGAGGCGATAGCCAGTGCCGGTGTGGCCCAACTCCTGCAGAAGATCCGATTAGGCCCCCAAGTTGACACTTTGGGTGTGTCCTACTTCGGAAACGATATTATGCTGGCCCCGATCACCGAGCAAGTGGAGGCGGACTGGAAAGAGTTCATCCACGCTGTAAAGCTGAAATCGCGAAGGTCCGTTTTCGTGATTGGTGGCTTTGCTGCGAAGTATCGGGGCATGCAGCTCACCCCCGTCTACGACCAGAACCTGCAGTACGTGAGGAGTCTCGTGGAGAGCGAAGGTCTCTACGTGACGGACTTGCGGCAGAAGGTGAAGAAGTGGAAGCTTTGCAGCGATGGCATCCACTGGCACGAGGATGAGAAGGAGGACGTCTGCGCCACTTGGGCGCGACTTCTGCGGGGCGAAGTTTTCGATTCCTTCCCAGATGTCGCCGAGGATTCCGAGGAGTCTCCGCTGGAGTCGCCAATCAGCTCGCCCAGCGAGCCACCAGGCAGGGACCACTTTGAGACTTTAGGGTTTAGGGTGCTCTTGAGCAGTACTATCTTTGGACCGATTGATGAAGGATTCTGGTGCGTAGGGCTTTTTTTCTGCGAGGCGAGAGGAGTGCTGACTCCGTCAATAGGGGCTTTGTTCAAGCTTTCCCGGCATCATCTCTGTCCTTAGGATCAGGACTCGGTTGTGTATTTTCTGAGTCAGCACTTAAAGGATCATGGGACTTAGTAACTAGGGTCACAAACAAGGTAACTATAATTATAGCCCCAATTAGGGTACTTAAAACCTTACTTACTAAGTCCCATGATCCTCCAAGCAGAGCGCGGATGATTGCAGTTGGCTCGCAGGCCGAGCAGCCTGCTGGGGCCACCGACTGCCGGCGACCTCGGCTTCACGGCTGCCGAAAGTTCTGAAAGTGCCCGACACGGGCTTCCAGGACGCAGAATGGGAGGGGTCGAGGTCCCAGGAATCCCGGGCCTCGCAAGTTAAGAGCTTCAGCGTCACGGTCTTCAGGCAGGGGAAGGAGAGGCTCGGGATCCGTCTGGAGGCCGTTTCTGGCGTCGGCTACCACTCGGCAGCACGCGTGCATAGGATCTTCGAAGGTGGCCTCATCGACAGATGGAACCGGATGCAGGAGTCAAATGGCCTGCAGGGATGGGCGGTCGAGGTTGACGATGTCATCGTCGGCCTGAACGGACAGCACGAGTTCTCAACTGAAGGTTCAGAGTTTCAGACGGCTACCACGCTGAACCTGTTGATCATGCGGGGACTGCCTCTGAAGCTCGCGTCATGACCTCCCCGACGCTTCTGCAGGGCAGCCGAGAGGAAACCGACTGTCGGGCTGAGGCTTAGGGCGACCCCGATTTGCACAGCTGTACAGTGATGTGGATGCTGCTGTCGTCGCCGATGTTGCTTCAGGTTCTTGTTGATGACGTTGTCCTCGTTGATCTTGTTAGAGGTGCAACAGGTAATTGATCTGAAGACCTGAAAGCAACTTAATCCTAAACCCTCAACTGGCCCTCAACCTGAACCTTACTCGCTTAGAACTCAACCTAAACCGTCCCTACACTATGTAGTCCATCAAACTCAGAGAGTCCCGAACCCTCAGCCCAAACCTTGGTGATACTACGTCATGGTAAGCAAGTGACGATGACTGATGCCGATGATGCCGGCGACAGTGACGGCGATGCAGCTCTGCCAATAGTAGCTCTGCTGCTGCTGCTGCTGCTCCTGCTGATGATGCCAAAAATGACTATAACGATAAGAATGCTGATGACGATTACGGTGATGATGATGACGCTGCTGCTGATGATGGTGATGATGTTGTTGTTGATGATGATGACGATGATGATGAGCACGTTGCTGATGCCGCAGCTTGATTTGATTATTCTAGGGATGATGTGGCTGATGATGCAGCTGATGAGGGTGATGGTGATGACGATGGTGATGCTGCAGGGGTTGATGTTGTTGATGATGCCATGGTGGTGTGGTCCTGGGGACGGTGGTAGTGAGGACGTCGTGATTGGTGATGGCGATGATGATGATGCTGCTGCTGTTGATGACTGTGCCGGTGGTGGTGATGGCTGTGATTCTGACGATGGCTGGCAGCTTCTTTTTTGCGGTAGTCGTCGTGATGATGCTGGTGATGAGGATGATCATGGCGATGATAGCGCTGACGATGCCGATGAAGAGCGAGTACGACGATGGTGACCGATTCCGATAGTGTTGATGGTGAAGGAGAAGTTGATCAACATGAGGACTTCGATCGGAGTGGTCATGAAATTCTGACCTCGTGACTTCACTGCTGCGCATGTTTGAGGCTTTCGCAAGGGCTACGCAACCCGAAGGCTGTTTGCCTGGTGGACCTATGCCCGCTTGATTGAGCAGAATTCAGGACCGGCCTTCAAACCCTTTGCCGACACATCTACCCTAAACTCTGCTCCGATCTGCGAATCTTTGTGGAAGTTCCCGCCTTTCTGTGCCATGAAAGCTGAAGCACATGGTAGCCCTAAACCCTAAACTTAAACCCTAAACCCTAAACCTTAAACCTTAAACCCTAAACCCTAAACCCTAAAGCCCAAACCGCTCCTTGCCGTCAGGAGTCTCTGGGCGCTCCTTCACGAAGGAGGAGTGTCTGAGTGGAGACAGGGCTGCAAAAAGAGAGAGAGAGAGAGAGAGAGAGTAGTGTTGCCTTTGTTAGAAGTATGCTCTAGTTTGTTATAGTATGTTCTAGTTTGTTATAGTATGTTCTAGTTTGTTGGAAGTATGCTCTAGTTTGTTATAGTATGTTCTAGTTTGTTATAGTATGTTCTAGTTTGTTATAGTATGTTCTAGTTTGTTACAGTATGCTCTAGTTTGTTACAGTATGTTCTAGTATGTTACAGCATATTCATTAGAGTATTTTTCGTGTATATAGTACTGAATCGCTTCACCCATGGATTAAACACCTTCCTAATATATATATATAACACATTGGGGCGAATCCTCCCGAAATCATCCCTGCCCTTTAAAAGCTATTCTGAATTAGGGGTCGGGCTACGAGGCCCCAAATACCCTCAGAGCACAGTAAGAGCAGGAGTTAGAGCAAGAGCAGGAGCAAGAGCAACAGCAAAAGCGGGAGCAGCAGCAAGAGCAAAGCAAAAGCAAGAGCGGGAGTAAGAGCAAGAGCAAGCAGAAGCGGGAGCCACAGCAAAAGCAGCAGGAGCAGGCGCAAGAGATGCAGCAGAAGCAGGAGCAAAAGCCAGCGCAGGAGCAAGAGCCAGAGCAGGAGCAAGAGCACGACTCTTCAAAAGTGGCAGTAGAGAACATACCCCTCTATTCCAAGTTTTCATTGGCGCCCCCGTTCAACAGTAGGTGGAAGGGATTATCTCATCGTACAGTATAAAATTGTCGAACGGTTGAGAAGTTGCTACTTCTGCTCACCTGGCCCTCGAGCGATACGACGAAACCACAGGTTCTAAGTTATGTTGTGTTCTTGTATGTTATCAGTTCCATCGAAAGACATTGGTTTGGATCTTGTATGTATGTTTACTACCTCCATATCAACTTGTACACCAACATGCAGATGAGACTCATGATGGTTATCATCTCCATTGCAAGCCACCCGCATTGTCGATGCCGTTTAATATTCCAGTGCCAAGGTCACCATCCAAAACGAAACCAGCCTCGTTTTTTGCATCCTCGAGCTCCGTCCCAGCAAAAGCCGCAAGTCGCCGTCTCCGACAAAGACTCGCCAGAATCGGTCGCACAGACGTTGAGTGCCGAAGGGCACTGTCTGCAGAGGCACCTGAAGGTGACTTTGCGTCTTCCCCGCAATCCAGCCGAACAGTTATCCTTTATTACAATGCCCCTGTCAGTGTCACTGTCATGATCATGCTTGCCGATTGTATTCTGATGCCGATGGCAGCCACAACTCTCATCACTATTCTGATTCCTAGTCGCCTTCTTCTGACAAGTTCCTTTCATTGCTTTCTACACCCGCCACAGCTGCATGATCCCGCTTCGCGTTCCGAAAGCGCCTTGCCCCTAAAGCCCTAAAGCGCTGAGCACCCACAGAACCGGCACAGCCTGAAAGAAGGACATTTTGAGACCCCTGACGAAATCCTGGATTATGGAACCGAAGAACGTGCTTGAGGAGCCTTCATGGAGCCCTTGTTATGCAACCAGCAACCAGCGTCAGAACCCCACATAAATGAAAAAAACCTGAGAGCCCCTGCGAAGACCCCCATAAAGTCACAGATAAACCCACGAAGCCCAATAGACCTCCACCCGAAAAAACTTGAAGCCCTGAATCCAAGAGCTGTAAAGCCATCCTCTTTCTTTGGGAGACCTGAGGCGATCTGCTTGTGGCGCTGCTCCGCGGTCGCCCCCCGGGGCCCCCGACGCCGGAGCTCCGGGACTTGGCCTGGAGGCCTCGTCTTGTAAGAAGGGTTCTTTCTCCTGCTACTTAAAGGATCATGGGACTTAGTAACTGAGGATATTATTAGGGTAACTATACTTATAACTACTTATAACCCCCAATCAGGGTACTTATAACCATACGTACTAAGTCCGATGATCCTCCAAGTACTTCTGCTACTGCTGCTGCTGCTGCTGCTAGTGCTGCTACTATTACTTCTGCTGCTGCTGCTACTAGTGCTACTAGTGCTGCTATTGCTACTACTGCTGCTGCTACTACTACAACAACTACTACTGCTTCTGCTTCTGCTGCTACTACTACTACTACTACTACTACGACTGCTACAACTACTACTGCTATTGATATTGGTTTTACAGGCATACGAAAATGCTGTAAATATGGGGCCCAAGGGCGTTCCACTCTCTATTTTTACTCTTACTGTTGCTACTGTTATTACTAGTATTCTTATTGCTATTACTAGTACTATTGTTATTGTTACTGTTATTGTTGCTATTCTTGACAGTGTAATTGTTACCAGTATTGCTATTGGTGCAATTGCTATTGTTATTGTTATTGCTTTTATCAGTTCTACTTTATTAGTACTATGTTGATTCTAGTTCTCGTTAGGACGATTAGTAACCGCTATGATGTATTATTGTTGTTCGCTGTGAGTGTAATTTGGGATTCATAGCGATGTTTGTATTACTAGGATGTATCCAGTCATATTCCATGGTGTTGTTCAGTCCTGGTACTGGTACAAGATATTATTGCTTGTGGTATTGTTATAGCTTAAACCCTTGTTAACCTTGACATGCTTGTCACACTCTAATGTTGGTATTGCACGCATTATCAGCCTTATCCGTACTCACACTACCAAAGCTGACGACGCTTTCCTAGTTCTGGTGGACTCACGGAAGAGAGGCCTTTAACAACTCTGTAGGGACAGTACTGTCGATAATAATACATAGTTATTAGAAGTGCCCTAAACCCAACACGTTTGAGCCCGGATCAAAAAATGGACCCTCAAAATTTCGTGTGTGCACAAATTCGTCGGGGCCACATTCTGCAGCAAAATAGCACCGTTCTTTGTGTGTGCCTGCTCTAATACATCCCAAAACCCTAAACCCCTACACCCTAAACCCCCTCTCGCCCAAAGGCTTCTCTCCGCGATGCCTCTCGTTGGTCTGGCCTTAGAAGATGTGCTTCAACTGCCGGAGGCACGAAGGTCTGTTGGTTTCGGGGTTTGGATGGTTTAGGGGCTTAGGGTTAAGGGTTTACTGTAGGGTTTAGGGGTTCAGGGCTTACGTCAGGGTTGAGGGTTTGGGGTTTTGGGTTTGGGGCTCAGGGCTTTGGGTTTAGGGTTTTTAAAACCTTACACGGGCTTTGCAGGGCTTCTTACGACTTTCAGGAACGTTTATGTTAGAGGTGTAGCAACTTGCTTCAGCAACTCAAAGACTCAATGAGCAGGGTCTGACAAGGGGTTCTATAGCGGTATACTGAAAGGATCAGGGGATTTAGTAAGTCTTGCGCTTTATCTGTCCCATTATGGCAGCTAATATATATATATATATATATATAAGCAAGTATATACATAGAAAACACACACACACACATATATATATATATATATCTTGATCTACGTACAGGCATAGATTATGAAAAAAGTGTACAACTATAAAAAGCTATAATATATGTACATGAAGCTCACGAAATTCCAAAGATGATGTCGGAAGGTCCTTGGCCACAGCTGGGCCACCTACGAGCTTCTCGTAGGCTTCGGCCACGACAGCCTCCAGGCATCGCGAGCTTCTTAGGCAAAGGTCACTCAGTCGCATCGGCCGGGATATGTCCGTACCTTCCCTGTCTAGTTATTATACCATAGTATACACGCAAGGCCCTTTTCTAGATATAATGGCTTCTTTACAGCCTCTTCACTCCCAGCCACCTAGCTTTTTTCACCATCGACTGCTGGACGACTGTTAGCTTCTTTTTCCGCTTCGCGTGATTGCCTTTTTTCTTTTTCGCCAGCTCAAGGCAGCACGTAGACCTAGCACAGGCTTCTGGGCTGACAGGGCCCGTCGACTCGTGGGGCGTGGCCATGGAAATCTGCCGTCGGAGACGTCGGGAGGACGTTCGTGACTCCGGTGGCCCAGGTGGAAGTGTTTTTGGTCGCTTGCATGCGGCCCTGCACGCTGCCCTGCGTGCCGTCGGCGCGGCAGGGGGCGGCTGGGCTTTGCTGGCAGCGCTCCGGGCCATAGGAAAGCACAGCAAGGAGCCTCAAGATGAGGCTTTGGGGCAAAAGACCGACCAAGGCAGCGGGAAGGGACTTAAGGGGCCCCGACATGTGGCTGTGATCATGGATGGAAACCGGCGCTTCGGCCGGCGGGTGCATGGCGATGCGCTGAGCGGGCATCGTGCAGGTGGTGAGAAGCTTCGAGAGTTCTTGCTCTGGAGCGTGGAGCTCGGTGTCGAGTTTCTTACAGTTTTCGCATTCTCGACCGAGAATTGGAAGCGGGATCCGGAGGAGGTGGCGGCGATGATGCGGCTCTTCCTCTCCGAAGTCCCTCGCCTCCAGGACCACGCCCTCAGGAACAACGTTCGCGTGCGCTTCCTCGTGTCCGATGCGGAGCCCCTCCCTGCGGATGTTCGCTGCGCGATCTCCGAGCTCGAGAAGCGATCGTCTTCCATGACAGGCTTGTTGCTGAACGTCTGCCTCAGCTACGGTGGGCGTTGTGATGTCAGTCAGGCCTGCCGAGCTCTCGCCGAGCAGGTGAAAAAGGGTGAACTGGAGCCTTCTGAAATCGATGATGGCATGGTGAAGCAGCATTTACTCACGGCTGATGTCCCAGATCCAGACGTTTTGATCCGCACCTCCGGCGAGCGGAGGCTCAGCAATTTCATGATGTTTCAGCTGGCATATGCCGAACTTTTCTTCCTGGAGAAACACTGGCCAGAGGTGACTCAGCAGGACTTTGGCGATATTGTGTCACAGTTTCAGAAACGACAGCGTCGATTTGGCAAGTGAATTAGAGCTGAGTGTACTCGTAGCTAGGTAGTCGGTGGTAGCTGTGCATGGATAATGGAAATGGAAGCCATGCCATGCAACGATTCCAGGAGTGTCAAGTGGGCCATGGCTCTTCCCGGTGACATCCTGCAAAGCAGGTGTCCGAAACCGACGTGATTGACGTCGAGGGACCTTTGACTGCGCAAGCAAAAGGACGCTGCCGTGACCTTGGATAAGGTGTGATCCCAGCATAACCTTGCGGAGGTGTCGATGTGGATGTAGCTCTGCCTACGCCATGGCCAGGGGCTCCGCAACGCATCCCTTCCGCCCTTCTTTCGCTTTCCGAGAGAGAGGGGGAGAGAGAGAGAGAGAGAGAGAGCTGCGAGGCGCAGCTCCGCACGATGCTGGCCTATTTGGCTCTGCGGCTGTGGGAGCAGGCGCCAAGCAAGGCGGGGGCCAGTGTTGCTGAGCCGGGAAGAGAGAAAACACGCTATTTACCAGCTTTGCTCTAATGTAGGGGCCTTGATAATTAAATAGAATAGGGATTCGGGGTATATTATACTATAAGATCTATAAGACTAATAAGGAACCCCCAAAACCTTAGTCTAGTTTTTGATCCCTCAGCCCCCGCAAGGAGAGGCTGCGCCGGAGACTTGCTTCTGCAGCTTGCCGAAGACATGGGGGTTTCCGAAAATAGGGGACCCTAATATAGTACCCTAAATAGTAGGATCCTTATTATAAGGACCCCAAAATAAGGTACCCCCAAGTTTCGGAAACTCCCACATGCGAGTCCTAGATGAGGTTGATCTCGATGATTGGGTGAGGTGAGAGGCGGTTCGGAACCCACCACCCAGAGACTCCAATGGCCCTTAACTAAGGAATATACCTTAAATCATATTAGGGATCCCTAATATGATTTAAGGTCTATATTCCTTGGTTAAGGGGTCTTGGAGTCTCTAGGCATCGGCAGAGGGGACGTGGTGGGTTGAAGGCCTCTGACATGCTCTCAGCGCTGCAAAATTCTGGAAGCCGCTCCTTGGGGCGATTTTGTACTGAAAGGATCACGGGACTTAGTAACTAAGGTTATTATAGGGTAACTCTACTTATAACTACTTATAGCCCCAATTAAGGTACTTATAACCATACTTACTAAGTCCCATGGTCCTTTAAGTGTAAGGACGTGAGCCATCTGCTTTCTGGCATCTTTCGGCTTCTGGGCTGCAAATGACGAGCTAGCTCCTCAAGCAAGGAAGACTCGATGAGAAGTCCTTCAATGAGATGCAATGCAGGAAGCACTGGACTCAAACCCAACCCTATAATACGGTTGATGGACAAAATCCTGCATGACCTTATATACCTAAACTATGGAGTTTATGGTACTACACTATATTTGGGTCATGCAGAGTTTTGTCCATCAACAGTAGAAGCTCTCTTCCTTCCGACAGGCGTTGGTTCTCTGGAGCTTTGGACATGAGAAAGCTTGATTCAGCCTTCCGCACGACTCAGGCTCCCCTGCGGACCTGAGTCTTCCGAGGGCAACTCGTCCGAGAGTTCGACAGCTCGACGATTTTCCAGGGATGGTCATCGGCACCCTTTTTTTAGCCATAGTTGTGCTAGAATGTCCTTCCATGCACAGACCTCGGCGCACGTTGCCCCAACACCCTGCTCCGCTCGGTAAGATATTCAGTGTTTTTGAATGATTATACTGCCTCCTTAAATTCACGAGTAATAGAATATGAGAACTGTTTTTAAAATAGGGCTCCGTTTTTAAAGGACCTCTGCACCTCTTCGCAAAGCTCATGCCGGCAAGAAGGCTTCCTGGCTCCTGGCAGCTTTCTTCTGGATTCGGGCGTTTGCGGGAGCAGAATTTCAACCTAGGCTCGAAAAACATCAGGCCCTTTAGGCCCCAACAGCTTGAACCCGAAGCCCCATAACCTTATTACCTCAATGTCATTGCACTTGGCGTGAGGCTTGTCGAGTCTGGCTGTGTTTTGCACGAGGAGCCTTGTACTCGTTAGTATCAGTTCCTGATCATCCAACAGCATGTTGCCGGATGGGCAACACGAACAATTCGACAAATAGGTATGCCAACGTGCATGTACTTCTACATGGTTGCAGAACAAGTGCAGCCGCAGCCTTATGTCTTTATCTATGTATGTATGTATGTATGTATGTATGTATGTATGTATGTATGTACATATGTATGTATGTATGTATGTATGTATGTATGTATGTATGTATGGCAGCCGTGGCGTTATTTCTTTATGTATGTATGCATGTATGTATGTTTGTATGTATGTAGGTACGAGGTAGGTATGTATGTCTCTGTGTGTGTGTGTCTGTATGTACGTACGTACCTAGATATGTAGGTATGTAGGTATGTTGGTATATGTATGTACATGTATGTAAATGTATGTAAATGTATGTATATGTATGTATATGTGTATATATGTATGTATATGTATGTATATGTATGTATATGTATGTTTATGTATGTATATGTATGTATTTGTATGTATATGTATGTATATGTATGTATATGTATGTTTATGTATGTTTATGTATGTATGTATGTATGTATGTATGTATGTATGTGTGTATGTATGTATGTATGTATGTATGTATGTATGTAGGTATGTAGGTAGGCACCTACGTACGCTCGTGCGTGTGTGTGTGTGTGTGTGTGCGTCTGTGAGTGTGTGTCTTTGGGTTTTGAAACCCTGCCCTAGTGTTGTCATTAGTATTTGTATCCCCTTGATCATTGTTTGCATTGGCAGTTATGGTTTAGTTATTGTTGCAATAGTTCTTCTTCATGTATGATTGCTAGTGCTATTTCTGTTTTTCAGTGCCATTATTTATTTTTTGTCTATATCATTATCATTCTTCTTATGGGGCCCCTTCCTATCCCTACTGGTTGCCAGTACCATTGTCACTATCCTTGTCGTGATCATTGTCGTCATCATGATCAGCATCATGGTTGTGAGAAAGCATGTTCATGATTGCGACCATGCTTGTGATTTTGATGCTGTTGATGATTGCTACTGCTGCTCTTCATAGGCACATGCACATGTTCTTAGGTACGTATATGGGGGGGTTCCGAATATAGCATCCCAAATAGTAGGATCCTTATTATAAGGACCCCGAACCCTAGTTTTCGGAAACTCCCATATGTCTATTCATGTATTGAGCACCCAAGCTCCAACCTTAGGTGCGGGTCCTTCCAGCCTCGATGCTCTTCTTGAAATCCTAAACCCTGAACCCTGAACCCTGAACCCTGAACCCTAAACCGTAAACCCTGAATCCTAAGCCCTGAACCCTAAACCCTAAACCCTAAACCC